AACTTAAAGTATGCCTTTAATAGCGCATCGCGGTAAGAGAGGTCTACTGGGCATTCATAAAATCTGTGTAGATTCATTTTTTGAAAGTATTCAGTTTGATGAGCGGAAGCGTAGATTTTATACGTCGTCGTTCTATTTCAGTGTTGATTTATGCGTTGGGATCTCGCTGGGATGGGTGGCAATGTGGCGTATTAGTGAGAAACGGATTGTTCATTTAATATTTAGTAACATCCGTGGCATTAACCAATTTTCAGCTATATAACAAACTCGTGTCAATCTTGTTAACTCGATGGAAGTGCTGTGTTAATTATTAAAATGTATAGTTGAAATACAAATTGATTTATAGTTCCCTTCGGTTTTGATTGTTGCGATGCGACCAAAATATATTGACGCTTCCCAAGTATATATATATATATAACATATTCTCGTAGAAAAAATATGTACAGTTTATGGATAAATTACATAAAGTAAATGTAGGTGCTCGTCCATGTAATAGAGCACAATGAGAATGACGCCACGTAAAGCAATTGTGAAGTCCATTAAGAGTGTGGAGGCGTGAGCACACTGCCTAATATTTGTCATTATGTGCTTTTGTTGTTTCGAGTAGAAACGTCCTCGTCGCATCTCGTTTGCGTGAGCTAAAATCGTTATACAAATTTTTGCGCGGCTCTCAATGAACATCCCTCAGTCATTTTTCAAATGGCTCCTCTGGGTGTAGTATTAGCTCTAATTCAAATTGATATATTGCAAGTAAAACAGTAACAATTTGTCAACGGGTTCTAAAAGGAAATTCGAAGTGCGGATTATTACGCATATTAGTAATTTCGATATCTGCATTATCACGGAAAAAATGAGCGATCATAAAAAAATTGTATCGATAATAATCGGATTGGTCAACGTTTTGACCGCCAAAGGGCCATGACGAAGGTTTTACAATTCAATTAGGTACACCAGGTGTCGACGGGCAGGAAACTTTAACCCGCACTGGCTACGCAACAATTTAATATTCAAAAGAGTTTTATTAGAGCAGATAACAAAATTCATAGTTATATTTTATTAATTTATAGTTGGCTTTTGTACTGGTTTAAAAGGTTGAATAATAAATAATATTTAAATAATTAATGCAATATTTATAGAGGGTTGGTTTGAACTTAACGTTTTACAATAATCCGACCTAAGTATCGCGTAACTTCTTGTAATGCTCTATACAAATTTTATCTAAACCTATTTGTTTTGTTCTGATTAAATACCTGTTTCTGTTAATTAAGTTAAATGTATGACATGGTAAAGCTATTATAGTATATCCTAAAAAATAAAGTACCTACTTATGTAGTAAGTCTTCATTTGCACAGTATCAAAATATTACTATTACCAATTCTGATGATTACCGAACGTATGACTAATATTTAGACTGTAAGGAGTAAAATCGAAAGCATTAAGCACAGTCACACTCAAAGGCGGTCAGGTGTGTTGATATGGATGAAAATAACGTAATTATAAAAATAAATATGAATTTGGACACAAACTCTTTATGAACTATACATATTGGTTCATAGTAAATCTAATAGTAAGCGCAATAGTGTAGTGACTGGAGTCTCCCAGGTGGTCAAACTAAATATATCATGAGCGAGACATAAGATTTAAATCAACGTAATACGCTTAACTCGAAAAACTTGTAATCGTAACGACCTAAAAAAAATAGCTCACCGATCAAATACCAAATGTCAGTATCTATATTCAACAGGCCTGGGTTCCTGCAGTCCTAATGAAATTGATGAACAATCTAGAGACATGAGATACGAATCCCAGGAGAAAACACTGAAGCAAAAAAGCTTGAACAGAACCAAAGACAAGAAAGTCTAAAGTGAACGTTGAGATCTAACCTGAACATGAAAATTAGAAGAACAAAGAATTAAAGAGGAAATTACCGACAAAGATACCCAACAACATTAAAAACGGGGCATGTGATATCGATTCATCTCTATTTGTGTAACTGATAAATATATCCTTAAATTATTTAAATAAAGTTTAAAATAATGTAAATACTGAATTCCTAATGTATCTTACAAGCCTTTATCATATACCAATTAACGTTTTAACTTTGCTAATAGCAAAAAGTTTAGATATCGAAGTTATTAAAATGACGAGTCATTTACATTACAGGTGTATAAGAAAACACTTTCGAAAGAGTTATAGTCAAAATATTTGTTAATGATCAACAGACAAACGGCAGGTGGGGAACAGTCCCCAAAGTTTTACAGACTAAGTAGTAATTATCAAAGTAAATAAAATGGTTGACTCAAATACAAAACAAATTTAAGATATAATTAAAACTCAATTACTTGCCGTTAAATTAGAGTGAAGGTTTTAAATTGAAGACGCCAACGCAAAAGTGATAATTTTCTTTTTATGAATAACTAGCAGTTTGGGTCGTTAGGTACTTGTTAAAAGGAAAGGTGGTGTTTCAAATCCAAAGCTCTGCTTTGCAAAATGTGTGCTTAACTAAGAATCCTTAAGATAATTAAGACTGACATAATACTTCACTACAAATGCTGTCTTTTGATAGGTATGATGACTATTGACTAATCTTTGTTTATTTGTCCGTCAGGTAGACTATTGAAGAATATTAAACACGTATTATATTTTTTTTACCCTCCAATCCGCTTTGGTCCAGCGTGGAGGGTCATGGCCCATCCTTCTTAACCATCTACATATAAGGAAGGCCTGAGCCCCTGCAGTGGGGACGTAAACGGGCTGGTGATGTTATTTTTTTTGCGTAATCAATAAATTAGGTCGATATACTGAGTTGAAATGCCGCAACTTTAATGCCTATTATCTGTCAAAATGTAATAAAAAGATCTAATATTTTTTATTAAATTCGATATTAAACTCGTGTTGTTCCGGGTATTCTCAACAACATCGGCGATATTGTGTTAACCAAAATGGTTATGTTATTAGGTATATTACGGAAACGGATTATTATTTGTTATGGAACAAAATCGAAATATTGACATATATATGCATACATATATACATATATTTAAAAAGAGAAACAGTATTATTTTAAAATAATGTATAAGAAGCTTCCCGCTGTCTGTATGCTGTTATCTTTTAAAGTACACAACAGATTTTAATGCGGTTAATATACATAATGATACAACAGCAAGGTTTATATTTAAAATACGGGACCACGCGGTCTAGTCCGCTGGCGGAAAGCTAGTAAAATTATATAGAGGTGACAAAATAACACACAATTAATATTATTGATTGAAGACATTGTCCTTTACATAACGATAGTAAGAATATTTCGATAGTGTTAATTACAACATTACTAAAAATTCAGAAAGTGATTATTACCGTTTCGAAATTATGTTATGCTTTGATTATACATCAGAGGAGGTCGATGCCGCAGTGGTTAGCGTGTTCAGTCAGAGATACTGTTTTCTCTTTTGCAAGAACCGGTCATGGGATGGGTAGCCTAAAATTATTTTATCGAGCTCCTCGGTATTTCGGAAGTCACGTTAGGCCATTGGTCCCAGCTGCATCAATAGCCATTAACACCCACAAACCCATACTGGGCCTGTGTGGCCAGTTCTAGAAAGTGAATGAAATATCAATGTTGAGTTAACATTAAACTAGTTGCATTCAATGGCAGACAATGTGGCCTGTTTGATAATGGTATTTTTTTTTTCTTTATTTCTCAATGAATTTAAATATAAACCTTGGTTATTGTAACACTGTTTATAAAAAATGTGTCAAGATGTATCAAAGAGAATTAAGAAAAATATAAATCGAGCTTTACATAGAATCGACACACCAGATTATCACACAATATCTATAATTTTTTAATCAGTTAGTCCAAAATTAATGGGCTTAGACCTTCAGTATGGATGAAATTGAATAAGATGTATGGGTCATGACCTACCACGAGGGCCCAGTGCGGATTTGTGGGTATTAAGGACTGCAGGTGCAATCGGTACCAACGGCTTAACGTGCCTTTCGAAGCAAGAATGAGGTTGAGATAATAATTCTTTTTGTCATCCATCCTATGACCGGCCAATGCTAAAGTTGCTCAATAACTGTATCGCAGGCCGAGCGCGCTAACCATTGTGTCATCTAGCTCCTCAATTTTTCAATTGGCTGCTCAAATTAAATGCAATATTTAAAAAAAATCTTTAAATTGAAAGGGCACTAAGATCACTACTAAAAGTAAAAATTGAAAATCATTACTAAAAGTAATGTTTTCTAAACCATAAAGATTTCATAAAACAGACTTAATAGAGAATATAAAATCTTAACTGTGGGAAAATTGTATATTCTGAAGATTTTACTTAGGAAACATAAAACTCTTACTACCAACAAAGAAAAGCAAAACAAATATTATTGCACCTATACAAATAGTAAAATTAACTTTTACCCAGTAACAATAACATAATTGGCTTAATTATATAGAAATTTGTAAAGGAATATCTAAATATTTAATCTCAGACATATCATGAATATAAGAAGCTCCTCACTAATTGATTAAAGACAAACAGATTGACCTAATTGAATCTATGCTATTTACAATACAATAACTTAATATTAAAATAGAATAATTCAAATATATTTATGTTAGTTTACACAGGCACACACACTTACACATACAATTACTCACAAATAAAGATACATTACATGCACTATAACAAAAAAAAAGTTAATTTTCTTTTCCCTTATATTGATTAAAATTTTCATCCACAAACAAGTGATATTTTAATGGAAGAGTCCGACCACCTAATACAGAAAATAAAATTGAGGAGTCTCCAAACACTCATATATAAATGTTGTGATATTCAATTTCAATGTTGAACTTGGTTAGGTTTAGAATCAATTTTAAAACTTGGATACCATGCAAGTTATTTGAAAGTTATGTTTAAAATTGACATATTTTTACAACATAATGATTAATAATATAGATTTAAGAACATAATATATGTAGTCAATAGTAAAAAAAAAATTACCTGTGGACTGAAATTGCCTTGACGTTTAGTCCTCAGAACATCACTTTCTGAAGCCATACGATTGAACATTTGCTTCCTTTCTTTCACTGAAATTTTTTGTTCATTATCAATCAGCATGCTTTCACTTCTTGAAGTTGCTAATGGTATTGGTGCAGTGTCATCCATCTCTAATGACTCATTAGGTATTGAAGTCCGGTGACCGGTTTGCCCAGAAATACTCAACCGTTTCTCAATAGAACTTTTTTCTAAAGATTTCTTTCGTGGATGTACTTTTGGTGGTGTATCCTCAATGGGTGGCTCAAGATTTTCTTTTGATTCAGCAGGTGTTATATTCATTGGTGACAATTTAGATGTAATTTCTTGATGATCTTGAATTATGTTAGCGAGTATGCTAAAATCTTGGTTGAGTTGTACCGGTGGAGGTGGTCGATATGGAGGATTCAAATCAATATTTGATGATGGTGTACACATGACGCTAGGTACTTCTTGTACTTGACTTTCAAGAGCATCTTCATAATCTTTATTTGTATCATTATCTGTACTTGTATTAACCATGTACTTTTTCTTTAATATTAATAACTTTTTATTGTTTTGATTCTTTATATTAGCTAAAGTATTAACATGTTTCTTGAATGTATTTCTGGCTTCATCTAAGAAAGAATAAAACCCATCATATTTCATCATCTAATTTATACATATGTTTGATGAATTGTGAAATTTGATGTATACTTATCAAAGAATATATTTGTTTGATAAATATACAGTATAAATAGGAACACTGTGAGATTATATAGGCTTTATGAAAAAAACAATAAAGTTGGAATTTCAAACATAAAATATAATTGTATTTTAGAAATTAAAGTTTATTTTCAGGAATTGTATTGTATAAAATGATAATGATCTTTTAATGATAATGAAAATTTATCTAATCTAAGTTTATTAGAAAATTAGGTACCTATCTATCAGGAGAATGACTCACTAATGTTTGATGTTACTATAGCTATAAATTTTTAGATGCAGTTGCTGAATTAAGTAATAATACAAAACGAATTAATGTTCATTGGAAGTTCATATAAATTAGTTCAATTTATTTTATTCTATGTAATAAGTGTGCGTTATTACTCTTGAAATTTCTATTACAGAAATTTTTAAACAATTTCATCTAGGTATAATTCAATTTAAAACTTTCCGATTATGACAATATTAGGTATAAAATAAGAAATTAATCATAAGATTACTACTATTAGAGTAATAGAAAGTAAGAAAACAAATTACTCACCTCTCATATCAGGATTAGTTAAGAACACTTTGAAATGTTTTACTAACTCGTGGTTTGTAACTTTGCCGCTGTGAGCTAACATAAATTTTAATATCTCATCAAAACTTAATTCGGTTGGTGGATCCATTATTTAATTATTAACTTTACAAGTTTTTAACAAAAATGAAATAAACTTACACAAAACAAAACGTCACAATAGGAACAGTAAACAGTTGTCGTTTAAATTGAGGCAAAGGGATCTAGCTCATAGAGCCATCTCTATATCTTTTTATTATTTTATATCTATGAGCATATTTTATTAAATATTAATATGATTAACATAAGTTTGCTCTGCTTCATGGTTTAAAAGACTTCGTGAAAGTTTTTGTAATTTCGCAAATAATTATATAAAAATAAAAAGGCTTTCTACTCCGCAAGTATATTATTCGCATCACTTCGTATCAAGCGTGCGACAAAGTTCACAGAGTAACTTCTCTGTTCATTGTAATGAATAATATTATTGCATAGATTTACTATACTTCTCACTTGTAGGACACTTTATTCGAAAAATGTCACCAATTTTAAGAAAAAAAAACCTACTCATTAAAATAATAAAATTTTATTAAAATCTATAAAAATACTCTAAGGATTGATTCACGTCTGGCAGAACTGGTTTTGCCCTTAGAACCAAGAGCAAAGAAAGATAGCAAGGCGATAGCCAAAGCCAAAACGCAATCTTTCTTTTTTTAATCTTATCTTCGATCTTTCATTCGTTTCATTTTCATTTTACATGTAGAAATTAATTTATTCACTTGACATTAGCAGAATTGTGTGAAATGCGCAGATAAGTCATTAATATAAGAAGAAGAAGAAGAATCTTATCTTCAATCACTGATGAAGAAAAGATGATTTATGCAAGTAATACCTAATAGATTAAAATATAGTCATATCAAGGATCAGGAAATTGTATAAACAATCATAATAGTCTATCTATCAGAATCAAGAAAATAATTATAATATATACGAACATTATTTATTAGAAGGCGTTATTTCGCGTGTAAGACAAGGTGTATATTAGCAAGTATTCTTTACATTGACTAATTTTTTTGGCTTGGCTATCTTTCTATTTTTGTTTACAATTTTGAGATTGACTTTTTTTCTACAGATCAAAAGAAAAAAAAAGCCTCACAAATTGAACAATAGAGCATCAGGCACGCTTTAAGGCATCCAAAACACCAGAATAAATACAGAGACATAAAGAGTAGGTAACGTGCACATTTCTAAGTAGAACTACGAAGTTATTTTTAAAGAAATAATTGGAATAATGAATGTCCATCAGGACAGGACACCAAAATGGAAAGATGAGACGTCAGACATATGGTATCAAGAATTAGCGAAGATTTAGGGTATGTTCCGATATACACTGCGAGCACTGCGCAGTGGTCTTACTGCTGAAAAATCCGTTCCGTTATGGACTGCCAGTACACTGCTACAGTACCCTAGGGAAATTTATGACGTCATAAATTGCCGCCATATTTGTACTGTGAGCACTGGAGATTTCGAGGTAAGGTGCTCGCAGTGCTTTTGATCACGTGATCAGTCGAAACAGAATCAGAAAATGATAAGTTTTTAAATAAACAAAAAAAAAATACTTACGTTTATTTATAAGACGGATTTAATTGATAAATATTTTTTTTATACAATTTTCCAATTTTCTTTTGAAAAGAGGGAATCTTTATATTTATATTCACCTTGCATTAACAAATTTGAAAATGGCGCCAAAAAATAGGATTAACAGTATACTGGACTGCGTTCCGTTTTAAAAAGTCACCAGTATAACTAGCTAAAAGGAACGGGCTTCCAGTATACTAAATTGACGTCATACTGTTCAGTGGTCGCAGTGTATATCGGAACATACCCTTAATCTTCAAGCCACTGCAATCTTGGCTACCACAAAAGTTAGTTAAAAAATGCTTTTCTAAGACTGGTAATAATTCCAGGTTTGTGCCAATATCTATGGTGCTAGGACTTCATAATAGAAAAGGTTCACTTTTGCCGGCTAAAAACGGAAAGCACTTATTATAATTATATTTTTAAACACCTTTATGGAAGACAAAACTGTTTTTGTACACTAATATGTTTTATCTACCTTTCATATTATATGTATATTCAGCGAGATGTTCCTCAGTACTGTTTAATTCTAGCTAATTGTTTCAGTATAACATTGAGTACACTGGTGATCTAATCACGTTTGTAGATATTATATATTAATATATCCAATGCATAAGAATGTTATGCACTTACACTTGTTTTCACTTACTTAAGACTAGTTTAACTAGGAAACGCCTAAGCTTACGAATCGCCTAAGTAGATTAGTTTAATTCTAAATAAAAATAATTTTCTGTTATCACTTAATACATTTGTCTCATACATATTACGTTAATGCCTAGTGCAAGGCGTCGCTTAATGCATGTCATAACTTTAGGCATTGCTTAATGTCGTTAGGTGTTTCCTAGTCCTCGGTGACCTGCATTATCACATTAAACGATTACTTAATATTTGAACGACAGATTTTGACGACTTCTTTATTAAGCGAAAACGGGCATTGGTCTATTGATATTCATCCTTTTTTTCTGAGTAACATTGCATATATGGTTTATTGACAAAAAAATTATAACACGGTTCCGAAATAAAACTATTTAAGTGCGTAATCTCAAAATTTGTGAGAAATATAGAAAATAATTGTTTCCCAGTCTAAATACATCTAATAAATATCCTTAGTGCCAATTTTTAGGTCAATAACTACAATAGTTAAAGTGCAATATTCATTTCAACTTTCATTTGGCTCTTCTGTAAAAATATCAAGTTATGCATACACGGATATTGTGATAGATCTAAGATATACAGGATGTTTGGAAATACATGTATAATCCCGAAACATGGCCATACAACTTAGCACAAAGAACATAATTAATATGTCAAACAACAATTTCACGTAAATTTCACGTAGATTTTCATACACATATTTGAACAATTTGTTTTCAATTACTATGCTACAACCCTGAAAGCGAACACGTGCCGTCTCGGCGTACTCACTCTCTCTCTCTCTCTGTCTCTCCTTACCTCTCACTCTCTCTCGTTTCCCACCACCGTGGAAAGCTGCCACAGTGATTACTCTAAGGAAACAGGGTAAAACCGACTACACGCAGCCCAAGTCATACAGACCAATCGGTCTATTATCAGTTTTTGGCAACTTCTTCGAAAAAATGATGATAAGACGAATAAAATGGCACACATTAACAAAATTAAACCCCAAGTAATACGGGTTTGTGCTCCAGTGGAGTACAGAGGATTCCCTCTATGATATGATCCAGCGGATTAGGAGCAATCTGGAAGAGAAGGAGATTGTAGCCCTAATCTCGCTGGACATAGAGACACATGACGAGAATGCATGGTGACACCAAATCAGCCAGCTACGAAATAAAAATTGCCCACTTAACTTGCGAAGGCTGGTGGGTAGTTACTTAAAGGGTAGGACAGTTACGGTGAGATACGCGGGTCAAGATATACAAATAAACACAAATTAAGGCTGCGTACAGGGTTCCATTGGGCGGACCCCTATTTTGGAATATCATACTTGACCCGCTATTATACATCCTCACCGAAGCGGGCATATACTGCCAGGCCTTCGCAGACGATGTTGTCATGATAGTGTCAGCGAAGAGCCCCCAAAAAATAGAACAAAACATTAATCGAAATCAAGAGGTGGGGCACATCAAATAAATTAAATTTTGCAGCACACAAAACAAAAGCCATGATAATAACAAAAAATTGAAATATGATGTGCCCTACCTAATGATAGTAGAGGCACAAATTGAAACGGAAAGTGAAATTAAAATATTTATACAGATGGTAGGTAGCAAGCTTGAGGGAAAAGTCGATTCAGCCCTGACCTCTTGAAAAGGGGCTGTTGATATCGCGTCACGAAAGTTTAAGCTGGAACCATACTATACGGTCTTCCAAGCTGAGCTGTACGCTTTCCTCCAAGCAACCGAGTATATCATGGATAAAGAATGGCAGGAGGTGCTTAGTGACTCGAGATCCTCTCTCCAATCGCTTCAGGATCCAGACTTATCGCATCAAATCACGTAGGCGTGTTTCAACTAAGGGAACACGGCCGCAAGGTCTCCTTATTTTGGATCAGGGCTCACGTCGGCGTGATTGGGAACGAGAGAGCGGATGAACTGGCGAAGAGAGCGGCTCTCGGGTTAAAATGCAAATCGCGTTATGACCGCTGTCCCATCTCCTTTGTAAAAAGGCATTTACGATTTAACAATGGTCGAATGGGACAGGCGTTATAAGAGCGAAAACATCGCGGCCACGACGAATGTCTTCTTCCCAAACGGGGAGAGGGCCTTCGGCGTAGTAAGTAAGATGAAGTAGAGAAGAGACAGATGGGCTGCACAACTAACGGGGCAAGGAGGTTTTTGGTCCTACCTCCATGATTATAAATGTAGAGATACACCTGAGTGTGAATGCGACCCCCAAGAAAAGCAAGACGTCTTTCATGTTTTATTAGAATGCAAGATAGATACACTCTACAAATGAGCATAAATACAAACCTCAGTAAGGAAAATTTGGCAAAGATTTTAGAAAATAAAGACGCTTTTATTAAGCATGCATGTACTATTGTACGAAAAACTGTAAATAGTACTTAGGACTGAATACTACAAGCACAACATACTCATATCAGAAAAAGAAATTGCAAAGCCTGCAAAATTATAAAAATGAGAAATATATGTGAATGTGTAAACAAAGATATAAATGCAATAATAATAATAGTATGAAAACAACAAAAGTATAAAATAATGTAATAGTATATAAGAAAAGTAATATAATAGAATATAAGAAAAGAAAAGAAAAAAAACCTAAAAAAAGGGATATGACAAAGGTAAAATATACCTTAAAAGAATAAGAAACGAACAAAACTCAAAACAAAAAAATAATAAGCAGAAATGATGGCCTGCAGTAACAGAAGGGGGGAAAACCGTTTTTAAAGAAAAAAAAAAAACTTGCCGGCAGGCCAAACTTGCACCACCCCGAGTGAACGCTCGCCAAAAGCTAATTAAACCATATTTGCGCCTGGTA